AAAGAGCCAGTAATTCACCTCTCAACCATCATTTGCCAGCCTTTCTTTGTAAAGTAGAAAAGAAATTCTTTCATCTCAATTTTGTTCAAATGCTGACAGTCTTTACATGGTAATAGTTGCCAACACTACCCTTTTGTTTCTCAGGGGCTTCATGTAACTGAAATGTAGCTGTTTTCCCCAGAAGACATTTTCAGATGTTAGGGAATAAATGGTTTCAAATATCTCTTGATCATCTGCTAATGACAAACTGCTCTCTGCAGCTGCTCTCCAGGCCTTTTCTTCATCCTTTTGTATATTCTCCTGGCAGAAGCCAAGTCTTTGAACAACACACCCTGGGATATTTGCTCTCAGTCTTTAAGCACTCCAGTGACTTGCCATTTGCATTTGGAGTAAGATGCAAATGCTTTATTGTGGGTCCCGCCTCTATTCCATCTCCCATCTATCTCTTGGTACAGTGTTCTTCAGCCTAAAATCCTCCTTCATACCCAGATCTCAGTCTGGATGGCCCTTCCTTGAGAGTTTAGAGCTCTACTTAATGTTACATCCCTGGGGGGTTGGAGAGATTGTAGAGTCAGTAGGGCACTTGCCTTTCACATGGCTAACCAGGGTTCAATTTCCAGAATCCCATATACTCCCCTGAGCATCACTCGGAGTAATTCCTGAGTGCCAGAAGAAAAATCATAGGCTACAAATTCACCTCTGAAAAGAAAATAAAAATAAAAAGAATCTGGAACAGATCTGCTTCTAAAGCACTTTCAGAAAAACAGAATACAGAAGGACAGTATTCCAGTATTTAAAGACATCCTGATGTGATTGAAATTTGGAGAATGTTTACAGTAAAGTTATAAATTAATTTTTGTAAAGAGCCAGGAGTAACTCCTGAGCATCGCTGGGTGTAACCCCCAAACCAAAAGATATGTTACTTCCTCTGGGGAGTTGTCATTCACAGTTCTGTCCTACTTCCTTCCCCTGGTCAGTTCCTATGATTTGGCCCTGTTTTAACTTCTACAGAACTGGTCTTTATCATGATGATGGTTATCATGATGATATGGTTAATTCGTTTAATTCTTTTTGGTCTGCCTTTTAAGGCCAAAAGGTAAGCTTCATGAAAACAAGGCCATTTCTATTTGAACACAGTAATTTCTCCATGCTGAGGTCAATGCCTCATACTTGTTGTCATATGTGACATACTTATTGGAGGAATAAAGGAAGGAAATAGTTCAAGAACCAATAGGACAATATGCTCAGAATTGTGCTAATATTTTGTCATGGATGGGAATGTGGGTGACTGAAGTGTAGGGAGAAGGGATGAGCTATAGCAGGGACAATCATAATTTTGAGAATAGGATCAGGACTAGATTTTGGAGGCGCTCTATGGCAATGCAACACAGAAGCCCTTTACTTTCAAGACCGTGAGGGGAAGGACACAGAGTTTTAGCTAAATACAAGTCAAAATAATTTAGTAAGTTTGTTGGAATGTTTGTATCTAGAAAATAAGGAATTTCTGATTACATAATCAAGGATGGCAAAGGTCATGCCATAGACAAGCAATTTTTCAATGAGAATGGGAAGATGTCATAATTTCTTTCTTTCTTTCTTTCTTTCTTTCTTTCTTTCTTTCTTTCTTTCTTTCTTTCTTTCTTTCTTCTTTCTTCTCTCTCTTTCTTTCTTTCTTTCTTTCTTTCTTTCTTTCTTTCTTTCTTTCTTTCTTCTTTCTTCTCTCTCTTTCTTTCTTTCTTTCTTTCTTTCTTTCTTTCTTTCTTTTTTTTTGCTTTTTGGGTCACACCCAAAGATGCTCAGGTGTTACTCCTGACTTTGCACTCAGGAATCACTCCTGGCGGTACTCGGGGGACCAAATGGGATGCTGGAAATCGAACCTGGGTCAGCCATGTGCAAGGCAAATGTCCTACCCGCTGTGCTATTGCTCCAGCCCCTGTCATATTATATTTCCATGGGAATGTTTTGCAAATATTACAACGCCTCTACCTGTATTCAGTGTCTTGTTGATCCAGGGTACCTTGGAGTGGCTTTGGATGCATTTTTGAATAAAACAACATAAGGAACAATGTCTCAAGTTTCTAGTTGTTCATGTGTGCTCTTATGTGTGTTTATGTGCCTGTGTGTATGCTGTTGGACAGAGAAAGGGAGTTCATCAACGAGCCAGTAGGAAAATGAGAATGTGAAATTTTAAACAATGTGGTTCAATGTTGTCCTGGCAACTCAGGTTCCAGTGTCCTGGCTCAACCACAGAAATGAGATTTCTGATAAAATTCTCTTAAACTGTGTCATATATTCTAAAATTAAGCATTTACAAAAGGTGAAAAACAGATGGGAAAAATTTCTCTTTTCCTGCCACAAATCTGTCTATACTCAATTTTATTTATGTATGTATTGGTAGACTTATTTGGTTGTGCTCTGGGTTTACTGCTGGTTCTTTTCTCAAGACTTATTCCTGTCAGTGCTTAGGGGAACACATGCAGTGCCAAGGATCAAACTCTGGCCAGTTATATTTAAAGCAAGCACCTTATCTTCTATACTGTTTCTCTGGCAGTTCTATTTTACTTAAAAGTTTAACTTTTTATTGATTTTCATGAGTAGACACTATTATAGAACTTTCCAGGCAAACCTCAACACATCTATATGTGTATAAAATTTCCCATACCAACATTTCAGAATGATCCAATCACCTCAAAAAATAATTGGGGGACACGACTCATGGCAGAACACATATATTACATGCTTGAGGCCCTATACATGATTCCCAATGCACAACAATAATTTCTAAGCCACAGCAAAGGATTCCCTGACTTATTCTTCCCACCTACACTCTTGTCTTCATTCTTCCATTATTCTTGTCCTTGGAACAAAAAATAATTAACTTATGCATGAATTCTTTTATATTAATCCATGCAAGAAGGTGACCAAGAAAATGAACTCTTCGGATATGTATATAGTAATTCCAAAGGTTATTTGTACTCATACATTCATAGTAGCATTATGCAAAATAGCCCAAAGACAAATGGATGGAATTAGAGGTGATTATGCTAAGTGGAAATAAGTAAATGCATGATAATTACTGTATACCTTCATTCACATGTGAAAAATCAATAACCAGAGTGAAGTAAATGACAGTGTATAAATGAAGGCCAGGAACATGGCCCAAGTGGTAGAGAACATGCCTCGTATGGGTTTGATTTCTGGCACCACAGAAAAAAGAAAACAGGGCCGGAGTGATAGCACAGCAGGTAGGGCATTTACCTTGCATGTGGCCAACCCGGGTTCGATCCCCGGCATCCCATATGGTCCCCCAAGCACCACCAGGAGTAATTCCTGAGTACAAAGCCAGGAGTTACCCCCGAGCATTGCTGGGTGTGACCCAAAAAGCAAAAAAAAATTTCTCTGATTCAATGAAAACTATAGTGATGATCAGAAGGAAATCAAGTGAGTAGGGGAAATGGGTAGTGGGATTTTTCTGGTAGGTAGAAGAAACAGGAACCAGAGGAACGCTGATGATGGCTGTATAACAATCACATCCATGTATGCAGAGGTGTGATGCTTAACCCCTGAAATTTTAATGCCATAAACCAATAGCATATCAACAATGATTTTTAAAAACTAAACTTTAAGAGGGATGGAGCGAGAGCACAGTGGGTATGGTGTTTGCCTTACATGTGGCCAATCTGAGTTCGATTCCTCCGTCCCTCTTGGGGAGCCCAGCAAGCTATCAAGAGTATCCTGCCCGCACAGCAGAGCCTGGCAAGCTCCCTGTGGTATATTCGATATGCCAAAAACAGTAAGAACAAGTCTCACAATGGAGATGTTACTGGTGCCCGCTTGAGCAAATCAATGAACAATATGACAACAGTGCTACAATGCTAACCTTTCAGAACCTAGATACTTGACTTTTTCCCAAATGTAAGAGAGGAATTGTAAAATGGGACCTGCGGGATGATAAGGCACAAAGCTCTTCACAACACAGAGTCTATGTATAGCTGGCTTTTTATCTATCATAAGATGCTCATGTTTTGAGTATACATTTTTTTGGCTTTCTTTTTAGGAAAAAAAGCAAGAAAGTATCAACTGCCCACTGAGATCTCTGTTTATAAAGTTATAGTTACTATCAATTTTCACTGTTTAGGAGAACATTTGGCATATTATCCATAATGTGGCCAGGGTAACATTACCCATAATTTTACTGTACTTTTTTTATAAATTGAATTTCATCCTGCGGCAGTGCTCCTAGTAGTGCTCATGAGGTAACTGGAGCCCATTGGTTATTCTCCACTAGCTGGGCCATCTGTTCAGTGAAAGGGACTGAGGATGCAGTGTTTCTTGGGCCTTTCAGTGACGGGGATAACTAGGCACTGTGAGGTGCCTCCATACTGAAATCTGGTGATACTCAGGGGACCATGTGGTGCCAGGAATCAAGCCCTATACTATCTCTGAGTCCTTGAATTTCCTTTTTATTCTTTCCTCTACCTTCCTCTGGAGCAAGTCATGTCAAGTGAATAGTGTTTAGGGATATCACAGATCATGAAATCCTCCATGAAGAAGCAAACAAGGACCTTTCTTTGCCCACAAGCCTCAAGACTTCCTTCCGAAAGAAAACACATGATTAAGAAAGATTTTAAGAATTGCATCCTTTGTACCAAGAGATTGCTGCCTCTTAGATGAATTAGGTTCGGTTTCTTGGAAACTTGACAATTGCCCAGATAGAGGAAGTATGAGGTTAGTCAGACAATGGTTATAAACTCAGTCATGGGTAGGGCACAAGAGCTAGCCAGGCACTACTTCTGTCCTGAGTGACTCTGGTATCATTGAGCCTCCAATCTTCCAATTTTAAGATGTCCTGGAGTTCTCTTGAGTGCTGGATATAGATTCCTGCTGAAAAAGACACGAGCACGGAAGCCATAGGCTGAAGGAAGTGACCCCTTTGGGAGGTTTAGTTTGCAGGGTACCACCCAAACTCAGAAAGCTTGGAAAGTGAGAAAAACACTTACTGAGAAGTCATCCTTGGGAAAGAAGAGGAGATCTTGATTGGGGTGATTTCGATAGGTCTTCTCAAGCTCTTCAATGACAGTTTCATAATCCAAAGGCTCAAGAAGTCTGGGTTTTTCCTGCTGAGAAAAAGAAAAAAGGATATCAACCACAAAAAAAAACCCCTAAAATTCTTCTCTATGTCTGGTTGGATTTGATTCCTTGCAAGACTCTGATGGTTTGATATAGTGCCCACTTTCCAACAGAGACACCAGGGCTCAGGGAATTTAGGTAAAGCCAAATAAGTCTTCCAGCTCTGAAGCAAGATGAGATGCTGCTGAAATACTAGATGTCTGTAAAATAAGACAAGCTGCTCCCACAGAGTACCCTCCCAGAGAGTACCCTCCCAGAGCTCTGGGAATCATGTCCTATACTACCCACAGAATAGATGCTGATGACAATGCAAGTACTGGAGTTGTCACTGTAACACAGACTCTATGTCAAGAATAATTTCTTGGCTCTCAGCCTCTCTGTAGTTGGAGAGAAAGGTAGGGTAATTCACTAATAGATCTGGACAACACAATTATTACAGATGTAGTGCAGTGAAAATGGAGGAGTCCAAAAAAAAATACCCAAGATATTCACACCACATTAAAATCCTAAAATCTTCCTTGTTCCCTAAGAAGTAGCCCCATAATGCTGATCCCCCCCAAAAATTATGCCAGTGGAAGAAGGGGCTGTTGTTTTATGAAAGAGTGTGGGAGGATGTGTTTAGTGTAAACTATATAGAACTCATCAAATGATGAGAAAAACAGAGGCCAAATAAAAGACCAAAACAAGAAACCAATGGCACAACATAGATTCCCAAAGTCTTTTATAAAGCATTTATACAAGTTAGATGAGAAAGGATGTTTTTGGGGATTGTTTCAACTCCTGGAAGCTGGGTAATTACCATAAAATTTGTATTATAAAGTAATCTAACCTCATTAATGCAAGAATTCTATTTTCCTTTTTCTTGTCAGTGGCATAAACAGGGAAATGACATCCCACTCCACCCCTCCTTCTGGTGAATCATACAGATTTAACTTCGATTTTTAAGACTCTTTTGGAAAATCTCTGCTGGGAGCACTCTATAAACTTCATTGATGTTTGAATCATTGCTAATGGGCTCCGCAAAGTAGTTTATTTTGATGATTTTCTAAATATAAAAAAGATAAGACAAAATGTTTAGGAGGCCAGTTAAAGGATTTCCAAGTTCTTTCTGCACTAAAACAACAACAACAAAAGCAAATTCATTTTACAAATGCTTAATCAAACTGAGGGTGATTTTAGGTAAATGTTCTATGGAAATGTCCTTCAAGTCAGGTTACTATATTTCATCAGTTAAAATATGGAATTGGTGGTCAAAGAAATAGTACAGCAAGTATGTTGCATTCTTAACTCATGTCGTGTGAACACGGGTTCAACCCCTCAGAGCCCTATTTGGTCCCCTGAGCCCCTGGCAGGAGTGATCCCTCAGTTCAGAGCCATGAGTAAGAACTGAGTACTACCAGGAGTGACCCAAAAGAAACAAACTTCCCCAAAATAATTACAAGCAGTATTTGGAGAAAAGAATAAATTTTCTGTTCAACATAGTATAGTGAAAGTATTATGAAACATTGACTTTTTTGATGTAGAAACACTATGACATGGCATGGGCGATTTTCAAAAGAATCATTCTAGAATCCTTGTTTCTTGATGTGATTATTCTAGTTAGGCATATTTTAAGTTTCGACTCTCCATTTTCCCTGGCAAATCTCTATTCAAGGATAACAAATTGATAGCTCAGGAGACAAACGCAACCTCCAGATGTTTGATTTGGCTTCAAGAGTAACTTCATTTTATTTTTAGTTGGCTCTCTACATTGTTAAGTGAGGTATTTCATTTAACTTTAACTACAGACCTTGGTAGTTCTCATCCACTACTCTTAAATTTATTTATTTATTTTTTCCTGCAATGTTATCTCTTTACAGCACTGTTTGCCCCTATTAGCTTTCAAGTCTGAAATGTGGCTTACTCTGGAAATGTTTCTTTCCCCAATCTTGTGGTTATGCATGAAATGCAGAGAATCAAACAAAATGGTATATTCAGTGAATTTTATTCACAATAGACAAAATATGGAAGCAAGAGTCTACTGACTAATGATTGGATAAAAATAAAGCATATCCAATGAATATCCATTCAGCTATATATATGAGATGAAATCTTATATTTTGCAATAACAGGTGGATTTGGAGGGACATGATGTGTGAAATAAATCAGAAAGATAAAGCGAAAATGGTACATGATCTCAGTCTTATGGGAAAAATAAAGGAACAAAACAAATAAATGAATAAAACCAGATAAGGAGGTAAAATGTATGGTCAAGGGTAGAAACTAGTCTTTCGATGGGGATACTAAAATAGCCTACACAGTGGTGTGTGGTCTCAGCTGGGACTGAAAGATGTCTGCAGTATTGTGGAAGCTTTTGAATGGAAGGCCCCAAGATGGAGGACACTCTAACCTAGGGCCGGAAGCTGCAAGGACTTAATACCTAAAATCACATATCCCTTAAGAACCACAAACTAGCCTCTTATATGGGACTCTCACTAGGGCAGCCCTGACCACCCTGACCATATTAATCCAAGAGTCCATTAACCCTTACTCCAATTAATATTTCCCCCCAAACACAAAAACAATGCTGAGTGCAAGAGTCCAAACTGCAAAGGTCACAATAATAAAGCAAAACAGACTCCCCAGGCTTAGTGAGTGAAGATGCTAGCCCAGATGACCCAACAAATAATAAAGAGCTAGATAAACTCTCTGGTAAGGACTTTAGAAGGGAGCTGTTAAGGACGCATAAGGAGCTCAAGAAAACAGTGGAACATACCACCAATAAAATGCAAGAGAATATGAAAGCAGAAATGAGGGAGATACAAAGTTACAAACAGAAGTGACAGGTCTGAAAAATCTGGTAGGTGAAATGAAAAACTCATTGAGGACAGCATTAGTAAGTCCAAGACGAAGTGCAGAGAATCTCCGACAACAGCAGATGATGGAAAAGAGCCTCAAAATAAACTAACAAATAACAAGAGAACATTTGAATGAATTCAAGAAGAACAACATAAGAATCACTGGAGTACCAGAGGGGCAGGAAGACAACCCTGATGAAGAAACAAGAGTCAAAGAGATCATTGCTGAGAAGTTCAAACTTCATAGACTCAAAACCATTGTTACAAGAAGAACTAAACAAGTTACTTTAAGACAAGGCAAGCTCCTCAGACAAATCAAACTCCTGAACAAAAATGGGACAAAACCTCATAACAATGATCTCTCTGGTCAATGGTCTAAACACACCAATTGAGACACAGAATGAAAGAATAAATCATAAAATTGAACCCAACACTACTGCATTCAAGGAACACATATGAACAGTCAGAGCAAACAGAGACTCAAAGTCAAAGGCTGGAAAACTATTCTACAGAAACAACTCCCTGAAAAAAGCCAGAGTGACCATATTAGTATCAGACTACACAGACTTCAGGCTACAGAAGTTTATAAGAGACAGTGAAGGTCATTTCTTAATGATCAATAGATCTGTATATTAGAAAGAACTCACACTCCTAAACATATATGTGCCTAGAGAGGGACCATAAAAATACTAAAAACAAGTACTAATAGACTCCAAGAAAGACATTGATAACAACACAATAATAATTGGAGATTTCAACACTGCCTTATCACCTTTCAATAGATTAACCAGACTAAAGCTCAGCAAGGAAATACTTTATATGAGGGAAGGAATGGAATATCATATATACATATATATATATATATATATATATATACATACATATGGGCTGGAGCGATGGCACAGCAGTAGGGTGTTTGTCTTGCACGCAGCAAACATGGTTGGTCCAAGTTCGATTCCTCTGCCCCTCTCGGAGAGCCCGGGAAGCTACCGAGAGTATCTCGCCCGCACGGCAGAGTCTGGAAAGCTACCCGTGATGTATTCGGTATGCCAAACACAGTAACAACAAAGTCTCCAATGGAGATGTTACTGGAACCGCTCGAGCAAATCGATGAACAACAGGAGGACAGTGACAGTGATATACATATATATATGTATATATGTATACATATATATATATATATATATATATATATATACTGATCCCTCAGAAGCTGAACACATTCTTCTCCAGTGCACATGGAACATAATTCAAGAGAGATTACATGCTGAGCCACGAAACATACCTCCATAAAACAAAGAGGACAAAAACTATATCAACTATCTTTTCATACCATGAATCACTAAAAATAAAAATGAATAAAACACAAATGGAAATTAAGTCAAACACCTGAAAAGTAAACAGCTCACTTTTGAACAACCAGTGGATTGAAAAGGATATCAAAATATTTCTGGAAACAAATGAAAATGAAGACATGAGCTACCAGAACTTGTGAGACACAGCAAAAGCTCTGCAAGCATTCATCAGGAAGAAAAAGCACACATAAATAATTTTACCTTATGACTTAAGATCTTGTTAGAGGACCAACAAAAAGAGTCAAAACCAGGCAGGAGGGAAGGAAAATAATAAAACGTAGAGCAAAAAATGAATAAGCTGAAAGTCCAAAAAACAATCCAAAATATGAATGAAACCAAGAGCTGGTTCTTTGAGAAAATAAACTATCACTATCACTATCACTATCCTCCCATTGTTCATCGATTTTCTCGAGCGGGCCCAGTAATGTCTCCATTGTGAGACTTTGTTGTTACTGTGTTTGGCATATCGAATACATCACAGGCAGCTTGCCAGGAGAAAATGAACAAGATCTATAAACCACTAGTAAGAATCACAAGAAAGAGAGAGAACCCTAATAAACCAAATCAGAAATGAAAGGGGGTCATCACAACAGAAACCAGGGAAATTTAAAGGGTCATAAGATATTACATTGAGAATCTTTATGTCACAAAAAGAGCACCCCAAAGAAACAGATAAATTCCTGGATTCCTGTAACCGCAGAAGGCTGAACCAAAAACATCTGAAATACCTAAACAGACCTATCATTGTAAAGGGAATTGAAATGGTAATTAAAATTCTCCAAAACAAAAGCCATGTCC